CACGTTTGATTGTTATCCTATTGGAATACTTAGGTATTTGAAAGGAAAAATTACAATCTTTTCGTCAAATTACAAAAATTTTTGATATTAAAAAAGTACTCTGCTGCAATTTTTTGATGAAAAGTCAAAGCGGCAATGATGTTTTTTTGTCATTAACAGATAGTTACAGGTAGCCAATCTTTGTCAATAATAACAAGCATTTATCAAACTGTGGCTTATTTTGAAGCTCCTTGCACAAAATGTAAACCAACAGCGAATTTGCGAATATGCGATTAGTTATGGGAAAATGCCACAGTAACATTGCAGAAGCTGTGATCACTTACACCAACAAAAGGCTACTCACTAGACGAGTGGCGCGAAATAGACGCGGATACTGGACAATCTAAAGGTGCTCGGTTTCCAGATCTAGAGGAAGAGTTATTGGAGATTATTGCAGCTGAGCATCCCAGGAGTACTTGAAGCAATGCACAACAACTGCACCTTCTCAAACACCTGATACTTAATTGTCCCGATAACTCCGCGGAGGAAGGGCCTACGTTCCTACCTTGTATGTAATATGCACAAGACACTAGAACACCTTAAATCTCTCATCTTGCGAATACAGGTTCGAATTGAGCAGCAATTAATTAACCGAACACGAGAAGCTGCTCAAAATATGATTCCAGACTCAAAGTGATTGGGACAGAAAGATCTTTGGAGTGAAACGGGCAGGACTTCTTGCTCTTGAGAACACTTCTTGTGTTTTTACAACAGAATTGTATTTTATTTGATCAATAATATTGATCACTGATACATAACCTTTAACATGTGGTTTTGGATGACAGTTGTGGCCTATTTAGGCCAAAACCATTTTCCCCAAAAAGATGGCAGCACTCGGGGAGCTGCTTTGTCGCGCCACTGACCGCAAGGTAACACCGTTATCCTAACCTCAACGCATTGTCTCCGTGTCTTTTATTTTCTTTGCTTCATGTTTATTCATGGTTAGTGGAGTTTTTAATAATTACGAAGGAACAGGTATTTACGTAATGTTAATTATGCAGATTACCTTGAAAAACATTGTTGCCATCCTTCTGATCGTGTTTTTTGCAAACATCTGAGTTTTTAATAACATTTCATTTTTTTTCCTATTTTTTCTGTATTTCCAAGACACCCTCCAGAGGAATGACGCCAATTTTAAATCACTCTGTATGTGTATACATGTTTAATTAATATTACGTAGATTTATTGATAGGAGTCTGGACTTTCTTATTTTCCTCTTTCATTTGAAAGGACAATCATTTAATTTTGCTTGCGCGTCCAAATAAATTAGACTTTTCTGCACATAAACCAAGACAGAATTTAATTTTCTCAGTCTATTATTCTAGTGTGGCTAGTGGGCTCTACTTGGTGCGTGCGTACAGTAGAAAAAAAATTGAGCACCGTAAATGATTTATGTACCTATTTATATTTAAATTAGAGTGAGACAATGTTTGACTACCTAACAGTCTCACTTAATATGGCAAATTTATTGCTGCATTTTCGTTTCGTTAGCAGACGCCGTTTTTGGGAGTTATAATTAATTCAACTTTTAAGAGACAAAAGTACAAATGTAATTATTGTAAGCGTCTATCTTTCTTCTCCAATGCTGGCGCGTTAACAGAAATCATCCGTACCTTTGTTGCTGTAGACAAGAACATTTTCAAGTTTTAATTAATTTACTAAAAATCCTCATTATATTTGATAAATTTAGGACATCCGGTTAGGTCTCGGATAATGCATTTTCGAATAAACCTTAAAAACGGTAAATGGTTTGTTCTTGTCATCTCAACGGGGATGGCAGAACTTTCAATTTTGCCTGTTATAATTAGGAATAACATTTTAAAGCAGGTGTTTGTCAGCACATCTGTTCATTACGCTTTTTCGTAATATTTATCCCTCCTCCGTCTGACTGGTCGACAGTGTATCATATAATATTAACTGGCAAAATGGTTATGCATCTATATGGAAGTAGTCGGTTTGATATGGGTATAATTCTGAATAAGGTGTCCACACGACACTATTTCTCCTAAAGTAAATATAATTGAACACTTTCCTGAATTGTATTATTTTAAGTTGTATTCTTTTGTCAGTCAAGAAAGCATGTTAATTTTACCATAGTAATAGGAAGTCTTGTTTAATTAGAATGAATAGGGATGAAGTGGGATTTTGCGAGAAATATATTGAATGAAGAATTACGTTCATCATGTAAAATCACGGTACATCAAGTTTTGCACTAAGCTGATTCCAATAAGCTAATGCTCAATGTAGAACTTATTACATACAGGGTGGTTTATTAGTGCGATAGAGTCCATTTCCGATGACGCTTGAAGCGCTACATATGCACCGAAAAATTGTTTTTTCTTACTTGTGACGTTGGCAGATAATCGCCATTTTAGTAAAATTTTGCTTGAAAACATGGTATCTAAAAATTAATCGTAGAAGCAAAAAAAGCAGTTGGAGATACAAAAAAATACGCCTTTCCAATCACCACATATTCGTTAAGAATTCTATTAAACGGAAATATCAATACATTGTACAGGGTGTTAACAATGTGGACTTCAATCTAAACCTTTTTAACACAATATAACTTGCGTTTTTTAAATGGAAGTACCTGTATATTAATTCGTCATTAGATAGACAATTTATAAAGTTACAAAATTGCATTTACACTTTACTAGCGGTGAAATCAACCGTTTTCAAATTATAATTTGTTTTATTTAAAAAGTTCAAGAAGTTGCTACATTTTATAAGCTGGCTTTGAAAGTCAATAAATAAATGTCAAAATTTGAATTGCCACGTTTAATTGATCATTTGGCTAATTATTCATGGAAAGAATGTGGTATTTACATGATGGAGCCATACAGCTCAGTTCACCATACAGCTCAGATTCATGAGTACCTAAATAATTCATTTCCTGAGAGGTGGATAGGCAGAGGTGGGCCTGTTCAGTGACCACCTTGTTCACCCGATATGACAAAGATGGATTTATTTTTATGGGTATACGTCAAAAACGAAATTTAGAAAATAACTCCAACTACAAAAGATGACATCAAGGAAGGAATCACAATTGTTTTCGAAGTATTAGTAATACTGTTTTGCACTGCGTTAGAGATTCATTTCAAAAACGTAGATATCAATAGTTGCTTGACTGTTAACGGAAGTCATCTTGAACATGTATTTTAAAATAGCACTGTAGGTATAATTTTATATTTTTATTTTTATAGACGTGCATTTTATGCAGCTTTATTACATTTTTTGCTATGAAATTCAATGAATTTTATAAAACGTTGCACTTTTCTTCATTGATGCAGAGTTTCAAGGTGCATTCCATGAGTTAATGAGAAATGGGTAGTTCTATTTAAAAAAATACACTTCGATCTTGCCTCGTTTTTCGGAGACGCTCTGTATCATATAAGATATTTTTAAAATGAACCACCCTGTATAGTAAATGACGACATTAACGTCCAACCTACAGTGGGTGGTTTCAAACAGCATCAGCAAAACTAAAGCACGGAAGGCAACAGCAAGCCATGCTGATCACAGCAGAAATAGAAATGAAATGACACCTGAATATCGGGCAGCCTGAAATGTATAAGGGGCAAGATTCTCTGGGGTCCAAATAGGAAATATTAATTGTATATCTGTAGACGGTGCGTGAGAATCCTTTTTCAACTTAGAACGCTCGATATTTATGTTTAGCAAAAGAAGAGAATCAACATCCATATTTGGTGATCCAGTTAGGTATATTCGGTTTGATTTATCTCTATCTTTGAAATGCATTGCAACACACAACAGGAAGCAACGTCACAAAGACGGTCTTAACTATAAGATCTTACTTACTTCTACTCTTGATGTTCTGCGTTTCGAGCGTAATTTCAAGCAAGTTGAAACAATTACACTTGAAACTTCAACTCACTACATTCAAGCCGCCATGGAACAGATACTGACACAGACAAAGAACGGACACAACAAATTCAAAATACACAACCGATAATAATAAGAAATTAGACTTACCAGGGTCACCTATGTAATATCACGAGTAGACGAGTTACAGTGGATCTGGGTAATGCATGTTGTAAGCCAGAACAGTGAAAAATGGACCATCAGGCTTGTAATTTAGCGACTCAGAGAAACAACGAGAAGTAGCCAGGCCACCAAGGCGCTGGATAAATGATACCAAGGAAGAAGTAGGTCGCAGCTGATTCCGGATAGCACAAGACCGACAGAAGTGGAAGAGACACGGAGAAAGCCTATGTCCACAAGCCTATGTCCAGAAACAGATGGAAGAAGGCTCAACAACAACAAGAAGAAGAAGAAAGCTAAGAAAGCGAAGGAGAGATGCATGGAGAGCGAACATGCAGCAATATACGGCATTCCCAAAAAGGCTGTGCAGCTTATCACACAATAGACCACATTTATCTTTTTTAGGCCACCTTCAATAAATTGAAATATCTTGCAAGCTTTATTACAGAGGATGTAAATCCTATTTGTAAGATAAAATGGCCACTCGCAACTGAACGATCAACTTTTAATAAAACAGGAACGTTGCTCTGCAGTGACCACTGCAACTTACGCATATTTGAGTGTCATGTGTGGTCGGTCTTCCTGTTCAAAGCCAGTTGTTTATTCTGAACGTCAGGATAATGAGCCTGGTGGAGGCTTATAAATGCTCCAAATATTACTGCACCGACAATTCTTTGTTCTCCGTGTACATAACGTGTTACAAATAAGGGTGTTATAAGAATAGCAAACTTCAAAACGCAACTCTTAGCGAGCATAAAATGCACAATAGCTTCGTATCTTAAAAATAATTTATCGAAGAGTGACCAATGTCGTTCTTTTCAATCCGCAACATAAACTCAAAGGCAAGTTTGAACGGCTCCAAGTGTGGGAATTAAGCAGCAGTCCTTGTTTTGAAATATTGAAAACTAAACTGCCATAAGACAGGCTGGGATTATATCAGGGATACCAGATAGGGCACATAAAAGAAAAAGCAGATTTAATAACGGAACCATTTACAAAATTAAATAACTATAGGGAAATGCCTGCTTCAATCTATTTTTATCTGCAAACTAATGCAATGCAAATAACTAGATATTTTTAGTAAACATGTAGCAAATTTCTTCCACTTCATTATCGCTATAAACAGGCCCAATTCTTGTCTTACATTTGAAATTGGAATTCAAATGTCACGTGACACTGGAAACGCAACATAAACGCCCAGTTTGTCAAAAACTTTTGGAGTGAAAAGTTGAAAACTCTCTATGAATTTAATAATTCAAATTTATTTAAACTGCCTTGGAAACTTCGATCCTGTTCCTATCGCGAACTGCGTAATAAGGTTTCAATTTTTCATCGGGTTTCCCAAAAAAATGTGTTAAACTTCTCCAAACATAATTTATCAAGTTCGATACATAAATAGTTAAAAAAGGCGAAACTTAAATTTTTACCCTGACGGAGCTTTAGCAAACAAGTATAATAGAGAAAATATTGACTCGTGGCAACTTATATAGTGCATCGAGCGAGATATTTTATTAGAATTTCATCCTCTAAGTCACGGTTTGATAATGTAGAAAAGTTATCTATTGGCACGTGGTATGGAAGCGAGTTAGCTTTGGTTATGAACTGGCGATGGGAGATCTTATATAAATTACTACATATAACATATAGTCCGCGACACTTGATTACTCTCACCAACAGATTTGAACTCATTTTTGTTAATAGCCAAAATTTTGATAAGGAACCCACATGTATCATTGAATACAATGTTTTAATAGTATTCGTCCAACAATTTGTTTAATTCACTCGTTCTTCACAATGGAGAAATTGTTAGAAGCAACTATAATAATTGATAGTGCGACACTTGATTACTCTCATTCATTTTTTAGAATCGTATTTCGCTAGGCAAGTAGACGAAACAAAATCATGTCACTTGACAACGGATTTACAATTGTCTAATAGTAATTTGAGTATATTTGAGTGTTCTAAAAGTGATTGGTATTGATATGGGACGCGGTAAAACTTTTTCTTTTTATTAGAAAGAGGGCGAATTCAAGCTTATTGAGAGGAGATTTATTCAAAACGATAAATTGCAAGACAAATCGGGCGCAGCTCGTGGGTAATCAATGCTTATTTAAAAGACAGCGAAAACTATGGAAACAATCGACAAGGACGCACTTCAACTGCAACAACACTAAGGGAACGTCGCCTAATTTTTCGACTTGCATCCAATATCGCCAACAGCTAGAGAAATAGGGGATCGCAGTGGAAGTAATGCGTCCATACGCACTATCCAAAGCGTAATAAAGAAATGTCCAAACTTAAAAAGAAGAAAACCACGCAAGAAGCCTTTGCTGCTTGCACGTCATCGACAAGAACGTTTAGAGTTTTCACGCATTCACCGTAACTGGACAGAGGAATGGAAAAATGTCGTTTTCACGGATCAAAAAAGGTTCAACCTGGATAGACCTGATGGTTTCCAATATTACTTTCATGACGTAAGGATGGAAGAGCAATTTTTGGCTCGCCGTCACAGTCGGGCAAGTTCAGTAGTGATTGGAGCAGCAATTTCAAGTCAAGGCAAAGTTGGCATCGATTTTCTAGAAGGTCGGAACTGCTCAAAAGCATTTGGAGCTACTACAACGGCAAATTCCTAACATAACAGATTTATTTCCGGATTAAGAATGGATATTGCAACAAGACAATGCGCCAATTCACACCGCCCAAATAATCCAAACCTGGTTGACTGCTAATAATATTTCAGTTCTGGACTGGCCTGCTATTTCCCCAGACTTAAATCTCATAGAAAACTTATTGGGTTGGTTGTTCAAACGCATTTATACTAAATGAAGACAGTTTAATAATAGAGGAGAATTAATTGCCGCTGTTAGAGCCGCCTGAGTGGAAGTTCCAGTGAATCTAATAGAAACTGTATTCAATTCATTGCCTCATCGAATGTTAGCAGTCATTGAGAAGCAGGGAGGGTATACCAAATATTAAAATAAGTATTAGGTTTAAATGTTGTGTTCTAGGTTAATTCGAAAATATGCGAGTAATCAAGTGTCGCACTAAAAATTACAATATTTACTTTACAAACAGAAATCAATTGCAGAATACGAAAGTGTAAAACAAATTATTAAATAAATATTTTTTAAATCTTTAATCTAGTGTTTGATGTAGGTTACTAATGAAAATTTGCCGCACTAGTTAAAATTAGTCTAAATCATAAGGTGAGAGTAATCAAATGTCGCGCACTGTATATTATCTGATATAATATTTAATTTGTCTGAACTTTTCAATAAACAACTGACTCACATTTTTTGCTTTTTTCTTTACCAATCGCTTTCTTTTATAGTAAGTACATATGTACTACTTTAATATTAAATTTAAGTTGAAACGTAAAAGTTCAACGCGGTGAACTGAAAAACGGTAATTCGACTAAGTTTTAGTAGGTACCAAAGACGTTAAAAGAATGTTAAATCCATGAGACCACAAAAATAAACAAAAGGCAGTCTGTATTATGAGTAGTGGCCGATTGCATCTATTAACTGTAGAGGATAGACTACAGTTACTGAAACATCGTGGGCTTAAAGGGAAATCTGATCAAGTCTAAAATATACATTTTTGGTAAATACCCTTTTAAAGCGAACCAAAACTCTGAAATCAGAATCCTTTTGGAAATGCCAAAAAACATCTTTTAGTGCACCTATTTCAGTGGCCTGGAGGGACTTCGTCAGTTTTTAAGAAAAATATACTGTTTTTTAAATTACTTTGTCAACAAACACAAATATGACACTTTTGGACTTGGTCACTTTTCGCTTTAAACCCACAATATACACATTTTATTTATCTACTACTAAGTCAAGTATAGGGAATAAGATCAACAGGTCGATTCACAAATGGCTTTCTTTACAACATTACAAAACATTTGCGTCGCAAAATGCGCTTTGAATTTTGCTATTAAGCTAAATTTTGAAGTCGGCTAGAGCAGCAAAAGTTTGCAAATCAAACATTAAGACACGTGCCTCCACTTGGGTAAAATTTAGATACAGATTACAGATAGTCAATTTTTACGGTTTCTATTTTTCGTATATCCTTACGTCATCAATAGACTCGCTCGAGGTACATATAAAAAAGTAGAGGATATAGATAGATAGATTCTTGTCTCAGTGCATTGGTTGGACAAACTTCTGCTTCTTGGTGTGCCTTCTCCGTTTTGGAGTTTGGCAATCATCATTAAAATCCTTACCTTTGAATCCGCTGTTTTAAACAACCGGATTAATCTGCTTCTATACCAGTCTCTCAGGTTTCTCAGAAAAAAAATTATGCGTCGGCGACCGGCTCTTCTCTTTCCTTGGATTCCGCCCTGCATAATAAGCTGCAGCAGATACTCTCCCCTCTCCTGACGTGGCCTAATTACTCCAGTTTTAGTCGTTTGATGGTTAGTACCACTTCCGCTTCTTTATCGATTCTCCGCATGACTTCAACGACCGTCACTTTGTTCATCCACGAGACTCCAAGCAGCCTCCGATAAGAATACCTAATATTATATATAGGTCGTTTATTTTTATACCTATCTCTTCTTCGCTTCGCGCTTTTTTCATAATCTCTTCCGAGTAAATGTTAAATTGTAATGGCGACATCACGCAACCTTTCCGAACTCATTTTTTGATTTGAACCGGGTAACAAGCTGTTTTTACAAAGAATGCTTTATAATAGTCTATAAAACATGCATATGTATCCTGGTTTACATCTAAACTCTTCTGAACTGAGGTATTAAAAGCAACAAGTGCTTCTCGAGTTCCGCACCCACTGCGAAACCCAAATTGTGTGGCTCCGATCTCTTCCTCAAGTCTTTTCTGTATTCTATTATGGAAAATTTTGAGGAAAATCTTCAGTGTGTAGCTCATCAGACTGATTGTGCGATAGTCGCTGCATTGCTTGCTTGTATGTGCTTTTTTCGGTAGGGTAACAAACGCCGACATCTGCCAGTTTTGCGGGATTATGCTGGATTATCTTGGACAAACAGGCATAGACAAATTGCTCTATTATCTGAATATCGTTCTTTTATGAGGTATATGATCAGGTAACCTATATGAAATTCTTGTTCATCATATGTGTATCCTCACCTCTAGCTGTTCGTTTTTATGTCAGTTGCTGAACAATCTATAAATTATCCGTGCATCGTCTACCAGGAGTAAAACCCTTTTCATCCTCAAAATACTTTTGTTCGAAATTTAATACACCTTTAGTGGCTGGAGAGAGATAGGCTCTAACAATTTAGAGAAGGTTTTACTTTCTCGTTGGATTAAATATATAGGGTGATTCGTAGTTGGGGTCATTCCTCTGATTGGGCTGTCTGGAGGTTTTCTAAAAATTCAGAAAAAACAATGTGAAAGAAACATATCTCGCACCAGAAAACATTTGCGCATAGTGCACGTGATTTATAATCACCGCAACTTGCCGATTGAATTTTTATTGGAGTATGAAGGGTCTGCCTAATTGTTTTAGCTACACAAATAGACTATAAAAATTTAAAATTTTAAAATATTTGCGAAACAAGCAAACAACAAATTTGACAAAAAGGTATTAGATTCACACTTACGAATCACGTTGTTGTCATTAAAATGGCATCAATACCTGTTGCTTGTTAGGCAAATTTAAAAACCGAGATGTGTAGAGAAAAGGCAAGTGGAAAACATAATAATTTTGGCGATGGTGTTTCACAATTTAGATATGAAATGCAGTTTTCACTTCAGCGATATAAATACTAAATTCTAAAGTTGGCAGGATAAAACTAAATGGAATCATGATTTTATACAACAATTAACAAAGCTATCCCGTTTTTCTATTGTAATATAGTCATAACTGCAGAGGAATTCACATAACGTTAATGAAAAAAAAATATTTTGGATTGCGAATGGAAACATTGTTGGTAAATTGAAATAGAAAGCAACAGGACAATAGAAATATATCTCCTAGAAATGTTTCCAGTGATTCTTTCATCTGAAAATTTAAATTTCCTTGATGGACCTATAGTTAAGTAGCGTAGGAAGATTTTAAATTAAATATGACAAATTGCTATTTTTTACCAGTGTAAAATTTAGATACAATAACGTTTTAACTCTTATATTATACTAATCTGCAAATAATTGTCGTGTACTTATTTTGTCTCTTGCTAGTCGGTTTGAAATGCGCCTTTTGACAAAATTTCGGTCAATTCTACTAAAATAAACTAATTCGCCGTATTTATGATCATTCTGAAGGCAAAAGCATGATTTTTTCTTGTGTTTCATTGTCTTTCTTAATCAGCCATAGCTCATATTTTCACTTTACTACTGAAAGAGAACGATGAGGAGCTTTTCTCGGGCATAATGGATTCACTTATTTTCTTCTTTTGTGTAAATGTTATAATTTTGATACCAAAATGTTTAAATTTGTTAAAAGTTGTGACCCAATTTGAGGCAATCTGATTATATCCAGTCTATATTTTCATCCTGCCTTCTTTTCCTTATTGATTTCATTATTTACAACATTTCCAAAAGATGAATCTGAAGAAGAAATGAAATAAAAAAAAAAAAGAAAGTTGGGCCATATTTTTATATTTTAAACCTGCTAAACAATTTCCCAAAGACTTCTAAAAGTTTAACTTCCAATTAACAATTATTTTCTTCGTTCAAGACACTGCCAGTATCATTTTAAATGGTGAAATAGCACATTTTATATAAAAACCGTTTCCATCGATTTGTAAACGTTTCACGCCTCTAAAACGCCCTTGTGTGAAAATTGTATATGACAATGGAAAAAAGGCCGAAAAACTTGAACGGATTTTATTTTGGAGTTAATGAAAAATAAGCGCCATTAGCAACCAAATGCCTAGAGCCGATTCAATTTCCGTACTAGCGAGTGATCTTGGCAATTCGAATGAACGCCGTTTGCCAGTTTTCTTTAAACGCCCTATTTATCACTTTACGCGAAGCGGCTTCGGCACAGGAACACTTTTAAAGACCTTCTTGGGACGCTCTTTATTCGCTTGGTTAGAGATGGGCTTAAAAATGTTTATGTAGCTATTTTGAGACGGAAGGGAATCCTCTTATACACATGGTCGGCTAAGTAGATCATCAGTTTTCGAAAAACCGAAATGGAACTTCACTGAATGAAGAACCTTTTACAAACAATCACATTATTACAGTAGTTATAGCTACATGGCTATTGTGTATATTTATACATTATTATTACAAATTTAGTGAAATATGAAATAGGTGTGGATTGGAAGTTAGGCAGCAGAACTCAAGCTGTAGAAAGCAACGATGCACTTCTTAAAGACATTGAAACTACAGCAAAAAAAGTTTAGTAGAAATGCAGAAAATGTACACCTTCTCTGGATGATTTTAGTTAGCCTAAGTGTGTCGCAGGATACCCTCTAGGTGATAGTTCTTGATTACTTTTTGATAAATAATTCCGTCTTATTGCGAAATAAGAGCACTATTTATGAATCTGTAATAAAGGACGTGAAGAAAGTCTGGTTTTTTTAAAGACTTTCGAGGCGAAATACCCAACAAGCAGTTTGTAAAAAAAAACTGCGAAATTTGTTATGGCAGGTACTTCTAGTGTAAGCTACCAAAGACGGGCCCTGTTTAATATACTACTTTAATTAAGAAATCAGTAGATTTTTAGAATTCAGAAACGTGACCATACCGTCTTTTATCTTCACTAATAAAATTCACAGTTTTCTACAGTAGGATTAAATTTTCGTTGAAACACATCTGCCCTACCAAATGTCAAAATCAACGAAAACTGTGGCAAAACTTTGAGAATCGCATGTGATGTGTAATTTGCGAAAATGACTTGTTACAGGTATTGTATCTTAATTTATCCACTACGAGCCAAACGTCTGTTCTAGAGCTTATTAAGAAACTTGTAAAAGTTTTAAAGCTAAAGCGCTATCTTGCCGTACACTTTGACTGCGTAGTCGCTTCAGCTTTACAAGATTAACTAAGCAAACTATTTAAGTTCAAAATTATTACTGGTCTTTTTCGAGGAAGTTGTGTGTATATTTCCAGTTCGTGATTGATTATGATATTGATGTTGTCAATAGGGTTACGTAACAATTTCGCTATTCTGATACTTCAGCAAACATCTCGCACAAGAAACTTTTCAAATAAAGTTATGATATTCGGTTCATAATCACGTAAGTCTTTTAACGTACCATATTGAGTAGTAAAACGAAGCTTGGATCAATATTCCTTTCCTGATACTTCCGAGGTTTCATCGAAAACTTATCTAGTCGATGTCTGAGTTCCGATCCTTAAACTGGCACAAGAATTTAAGTAGAACTAGTTTGACTGAAAGCGTTAGTTAACTATTCAGCTTGTCCAACAAATAGACCGGAGTGAACGCTGACAAAGTCGCAGAGAGTTCTAACTGCTCCATGATGTGAACTTCTAATTATTGCTGAAGCCATTCCAACTAACTTTCCGCTCAAGCTGTTTAAAGCCAAAGATTTGTTTACAGGATATTCTATGCAATACTCGCGCAACCGTTCATACATAGATCCGTCCATACATGTATAATTATAATGCTCATACTTTAACGAAATAAATTAATTCCTGGTGCAAATTTAGAGCCACTTCGATTACTTGTCATCTAACCATACATCGGTTATCAGGAATTACAAAAAATCCACTAGTCACGATACTTTAGCCAAGCTTTAGAGCGAAAGTTATATTGTATTAAAGTTTAGTTAAATAGCTGCTTTGTTAAATATATCTAATTATTTTATTAAATGTGCTGCAGCTTATAGATCTTTGATTGTGGAACTGTTAGTCAAAAAATTTTTAAGGAGTACTATTCTTTTGTACAGACAACTTTCAGAATCTTTGCTATACTGAAAAAACTCGGTAATACCTTCGCGAACGCACATAAATATACAGGGTGTCCCGAAATTGTTGGTCAAGAATGATACGGCGTACAAAAGATGTGAAAATAATGCCAGTACTTCTTTTCCAGAAAAAAATTCCGATTTGGCTTCCTTATGGAATTATGAATCTATCCGAAACCTTGTTATTGTACAGGTACGGTTAAAAGTAGCTTTTGTAATGAGTAAAAGTTTAACGGTGTTGCCAAATTTGAGGATATGATTAAGCAGTTAGACAGACCCATTTTCGTGCTTCAAACAAGGTGTACCCTGTTTTCCTCAATTGTCATCAAATTGTACGTCTTTGTTCCAAGTCTACTCCTTTTTCAGTTAGTTGAGTTAGAATGAAGTTATGGTCGAAACGTGAGCGGCTCGCACGGAATCCTGCCTGTTCTTCGATTTCTTGATCTCTCCATTCTTCTTCTATTAGGCTTTGAAGAAGTTTTAACTTGTCAATAACTGTTTAAATATAGCAATATTATCTCTTGTACCCGTTTAAGAGGTTTACCCCCGTTTAATAATTCTCCGTGTGTGTGTAATTTTCATTTTAGAAAATTACTCCTAAATTCATTCACACGTCAGGAGATTAAAATTAATTGATCAAGTTAATAATTACTTTTCAAATTAATAATTAACAAGTTTGTGATGGGCTGATATAATATGAGATGAAATATCTGAAAAACAATACGAAGTGATTCGATATAGCTTCATATCAATATATCTCGGAGTATATATTTTGCCAATTTAGAAATACAAGTGTGCGGCGAAATATGATCGCTGAAGGAAAAATCTGTTCCTGAGAAAATATTTCAGGCTGTTTTTATGCGATCACCACCAAGCTCTAATAAAGATTATAATGATACGTCACCTCGAAATTCGTATGATATAAGGCATTTCGAATAGATTTTACATCATCGGCATCTAAACATGCATTCTTCTGAAAACAGTAATATTCCGTGAACAGTATTCCTGATATGTCAAAGACAACCCATGTACTTTGTAAAGAAATTTAAAACTGAAGTCATGATCAGCTAGTTTTGAATGCAATTCATTTCGTATACTCAAGTGCCAGTTTGATGTTAAGTTTTTAGCAGAATTCATACTATTCCTTATGCTAAATTTCCTGCGAGTTAATTCCTATATCTTTTTTCAATTAAGCATAATCCTATTAATGCGCAATTCGACAAGGAGACCGGTAGAGGCAATATCCACGTAAAAAGCAGTAAGAAAGTTTACACAAGGATTCAGCAGTTCAGTTACTTTTAATTCACAGAGGACTTTTATAGGTGTTTAAAGTTCGCTTTTCTCTTCGATAAAAATCGGTGGCTTCGATAAACATAGGTTTAGAAAATCTAATCGACACCGCGAAATAACGAAAACGCATTCTGAGGCAAATTACTTTTTGTTTGTGTATCTTGGAAAAGGCGGAATTGGTATTTTGGAAATTAAGATAAACATAATGAGCCACTGTCAAAATTTATGAGATTAGTAAATGAACACTATCAACAATGATGCAAGCATTTAAAACTGAACCCAATCAGTTTTCTTTAATTCATGGAATCTCCAACAAGGATCTAAAAAACATAACACGTATGTAGGTACGTTAGGGTGATTTTAGTGTCTATGTCTTATATTTTCTGCTGGTTGCCTTGTAGGTGAAACAAGTCTTTACCGCATTTGTTTATATGACTACTCACTTCAATTACATCAATAATTACCTAGATATTTTAAAGAAGCATATTTTAACTAACCCAATACTGCAACTACTAAGGCTTTGATCTGTGTTGATCTGTGTTGTTGTCCGGTTTACAGATAAGAACAGATAAGATAAGAATAAGATAAGGCTCTAAGTCATACTTTCTAAGAAAGCTTTTCATTTGTTGAAAGTTCGACTGTCCGAGATCAGATACTTCAATTATTTATTTGCAAAAGCGTCACAAGTTTAGTTGCTCCTTGTAGGGCAAAAACCGTTTTTATCATTAGTTACTTTTAACAAAATATATTGAAAATTAGCAACCGGAATTAGTAATTTTCTGGGTACCGAAAATCGTAAGTTCCCGAATTGACTATTCTTTCGCTTAGCTTTAGCAAAACCTTGTACAGGACATTTAGAAATTTGGAGAACATTATTTAGAGAGTGAGACATTTATAGTTATTTTGTTAATCATGCTTACTAATGTTTTTTTAATTGCCCCGAGTGAAATTGGCTGTAAATATGAATGTGATCTCAACAAACATGTGTTAACATTTTTGAAATATTTTGTATAACTTAATAATCAGTTAAGTTTGTTTTTGGAGCTAACCATGGGGATTTCGGTAACCATACTAGATACGAGATTGGTTAAATTGGGGCAAAGTTGCGCAGTCTAGAGCTTACTAAAAGGCTCGTTAAAATTTTAAAAAAATTACTCCACTTCCAGAGATATCCGGAAAAAATCGAAATTCGAAAAAGTTATGGGCGTCATCTTGGATTTTTACATGCTTTAATTCAGCTTTTTTTCTGATTACCATGATGTGTCATATGTTAAGGTCTTGCTGTTTGGTGAAAATAACAAAAATCCTGTTTTTGCAAAGAGTGTTTCGGAATGACTCTGACTCTTTTGTTTTCTCAACAGATTTTTGACAGTTTGACTTAATTTAGCATCTGCATTGATCATAGAATATCAGAGACCAGTCAAAATTCTAATGCTCAGAAATATTGTTTACTGTTAAATTATACCTTTTCGTCTAACACTACCATTAGACAACTTATTTATATATTTGTTTAACATGAAGGCAAACACCATAAATGAATATCAGACTATGAAGGCTTTCACGGCCGATTAAATCACATTTAGCGATCTGAGTTATCTGATAAAAACGTGACATTCATTTATGGTCACATTTAGGAATGTTTTCCGGGCTTTGAAGCCGTGGTCTATGGGTATTTCTTCCTGACGTTTCGTCCACAACTGCGGTGGACATTATCAAAGGCGATGAGGCAGTGGGCGAAGTGATCTCCC